TCAGGAACTCTTATTTTACGAGGAGTTATACCTAAAAACTTCTTCTTGTCAGGAGTACCATCATTTCTTACCATATTTCAAACTCGTTTCGCCCATGTTTCAGGTCTTAACTTAAAAGCTCTCCAAACCCGTTGGACAACTTTTGCACTTTCGATTAAATGATTTACAACCCTTTTCCTATCTTCAGGTGAACAGTGATAACTATATTTAGTCCAGTAATTACTTAATGTAAAACAATATGTTCGATAAATCTCATCTATCTCATCAGAACTAAGTGATGATACACTCTTTCGAATTAGCGCTCCCCTTTTTTACATTCTTTCGTGTATAAATAGAATATGCAAGATCCTTTTCGGCCATTCTAGCAATACATTTATTAAGGTGATCGCTAGCACATTTGATGGTATTTTCACGGATAAACACCAAGGAGTCGCATACAGTACAATAAATATTAAATGAGCGTCTTCCAGCTTTAAATTCCCCATATATATATGATCTTTCAATCATCTGGATAAACCCATTCTTCGATAAGTATTTTGGGTTATACTCGAGAAGTTTCTTAAATGGATAACGAACACGAGAATACCACATTTCTGGTGTTTCACCACTATATCTATATTGCAGATTGTTTAATGCCTGCACTACTATAGGATTTAAACCAGGATAGTTAGTTTTAACCATTTTACGGATATAGGATAGCAGTTTAGTGATTTATAGCAAGTATATGATAATAAAATATCAGATTCATTTTTATTCGATTACAAGCATATCTCTCGACTAAGCTATTTTTATATTTACATGCCAGGCGCTGGCAAGTATCTATAAATCACGAGATGATCGGCCAATCAGATTTCACCGCCCTTGATCTATTGACATGATAGCTAAGCCACCGTTATTATTCGATTATTAATCATTCATGGCGCAGTGTATTTTTTTCATTAGCGATGATCAAACAATTCCGATGCATTATATACAAACCACACCCATACTTATGTAAGTAAATGCCTAAGCTATGCGCGAAACTTTATATTTATTAGATGCGAAATTATATGTGGCAGTAGTCACGCTATCGGCAAAGATTACTCGGAAAAGGTGTCGGCAATAATACTTTTAATTTGGGACTTGCAATAGCGTCTGCACTATAACTTTTTACTAATATCATCTACTCTTTTTTCACATCCCTCTGCATATCGATACCAGCACAAAATTTCTTCCTGATTGGTCTTTGCAACACGCAATCCAGCGCGAATTGCTTTTTGACATAATCTGGCTAACAGAAGTACCTACAACATCATTGTCATTGACTTCGGCTTGCTCACCCTTGGCAGGTGTAGATAATTCTCTCAGCAGGCCCTGGAATCTTTCACTTTCTTGTATGCTAACATCATCTGCGCTATCTGATTCCTCTGGGACCTCTTCACCATCTTAATTCTCTGGATTTCTAGAAACAAATAAAAGTTTGATGAGAAGTGATGGGATACCCCTGCTATCTGGTCAGCACCCTAATTGCTCTGCATTAGTATACATGGCCTCTAAACGATCAAAAACAATAGTATAAAGGATTGATACCAATCACTCGCACGGAAGAATATTTGGTTGCATTAAGTGTTTTAACTTTTATTTGTAATAAATTGATGCTGGGCGCCTTCATAAATTCGAAGCCAAAAAACAAAGTATAATTATTCATCTTTTTCTGGATTACATGAAAAATACGATTAGCTTGTGATCCTGAGTCGTTCATTGAAATGTGTAGTCACAACCGGAATACTCCTATGTAATGTCTCATCCGAAATTTTTTTCGCTGGCACTTACGTGTATATGCAAAACACCTTGGTAAATGTATGCGCTAGAAAAAAAAAATATAATATGTGCGTTGCTCAGATATTAACTCAGGTGATTGATCCTCACATGTCCATTTCGGTAATTCCCGTACATTTATTCTTTCACGTCTCTATAATAGAGAACAAAAATAAGGAAGACTTTGAGAAACGATTAATATGTAACCAGCTCAAGAGCGAGAGAACTCTGTGATGACAATTGTTCTTGGTATATAGCATTACAAAAATCCGCATATACTGTAGTTATTCCGGAACATTTTAAAGAGATAGGACTTATTAAAACTTTAGCGATAAGAGTAGTCAATTACATGCATATACATTGTTAAATACAATACGCATCCCACATACTGTACACATGTATAAAAGATCTCTAAAAGCTCAATACAAGTATTTTTCAACATCATATATGATTATCTTTTTCACTAAATTAATAAAATTACGATATCATTTGTATGGTACAAGTAATATTCACGATTCAAAATATTTTTTATCATTTCTGCCAAATCGAATTGGAGAATTATCAAGATCACTATCTTCATTTGCGTCTTTAATACCGATTTTGTGTCTATCTTTATTTGGTGTAAATGGATACGCTGGAAGGCTTCCGGAAAGTTTTGATGATTCAAACAAATTATCATTATGTTCATCTCTCAGCTGAAATATTGTGTTGGAAGTTTCCAATAATCCACACTGTGTATCAAGAGACTGGTAAGGTAATGACGAAGTATTACAAAATAATTATAAGCCATATACAATATACTGTACCTTGAGATCCCAAAGGAGGACAACGAAATCGAAAATATGTTTACGATGTTCTTCATAAAAAGTCGGTACAATTGACTTATGTGATCGTTCGTATTGCAGAACACCGCAGGACGGGTTATACATTTGCCACAATTCAATGCGATCCTCTATAAAATACAGGAAGTTAAATAAAAAATTATTGAAAAATAAGAAAAAAATTTTTTAAAAATACTTTCCATAGGTGTGTAACGAAAAAACTCAACTTCGAAAAAGTTTCAGGAGAACCACCCCGAAACTGCTCACCAATTTCTTCCAACATATAAGAGTTACCAATCGGTAGCTTACAACACCCATCCCAAGTAGAACGAGGAATATCTTTATGCCCATATCCTCCACTCATTTCTAAGTGGCCTACTTCCATTAATGATTTTCTTAATTTTACGGTAAAGACACCATCAGATTTTTGCTCATAAGAGCTGGTACATTTTCGTCGACTTCTGCAAGATTTAACTGATGATAAAATGACTTCCCCCCTTAAATAAAACTATGTCAGTATACAATATTTATCAAACATCAAGTATCACCCCAAATAAAAGCTACTTACATGTGATAATATAAACGATCTTCTAAGCCGACAAGTATTTTTTTTAAGCAAGGATGTATCAGATAACCTCCATAATCAGCCTCTGAAACATCTGGCTGTTGCATAATCTTCTATAAAAACATATTTATGGAATAAAGATAAAACTTTCACGAAAAAAGCAGTGAATGGATCTTCAGGATATAATATTGAACACGTTATCTTAATATTTTCCAAAATAAGATCTTCACCAGAATTCTGGCTAGTAATATCTTCCAGGAGATGAGCATTTAATTTGTCTCTTTTGAACTTTTTTATTTCGAATCCCAAAGATTTTAATGATTTTATTTTCAAAAGTTCAATAATATCTTTTGGAGGACTTGCACTACTTGGGCGTTTAGTAAAACTCTGTATCTCGGTGTACTCTTCATTACTTAACCATTTCGGTTTTGCTATCTTGAAACCACAACGGATGATTCTCCAAACCTCTGGTCTCAGAGGATGTCCTTTGACATTTGATGCTTTCTCTAGCAAGTCAGTAACTACCGAACCAGATTTTAATGTCCAACAATTCCAAGAATCATAATTGAAAGAGCGTTCAAAATAAGGAATCATGGCTTCATTAGTTTCTTTAAGTACTAATTCCGGGTCAATATTTATGCCCTCTTCATAATTTGGAAGTCCTCCATAAAAGATAGGGTGCTGATTGGATTCCGAAAACTTAGGTGACTCAATAATAAGGTTATCTGGTCTTCGCGGTGATTGTCGTGGTGGTGGTGGTGGTGGTGTGGTGTAACGGTCTTGATTATATTGCCTTTTTAATACTCGTTCTTCCTCAGCATCACCTGCATTTTCCCTTTTCCCTAGGATATTTGTATTTCGCAATAGGTCTTGATCTTCTTGATCGTAGCTTTGCGCACCGAGATCACTCGGCTCTTGTGCTTCGGAAACAATTTGACCATTCTTGAGAAGAGAAGAGATAAAAGAGATAATATATAATTGAGTCAAAATACGATTTGTGTTGACATAATGATATCAACAAACCTCGACTCCATCCATTATTTCTCCCCTAAGATCTTCATGTTTCCTTTCCGAGTCATGTTCAATGGTTGATGTTGTGTTTGTTGCGTTGCGCAAATCTTCGATTGCTATTCTGGTCGTACGATGCTCCTAACAGGATTGTCAGTAAGACTATTACAATGTTTTATTCTCCTAAGTTTGCCTTAAGACTCACCTCCAGTGCCTTTAATGTACTTGCGGATGTAACTCTTCGACTTATCGGTGTGAAATTCCTTTTTTTCATTTTTTAGTTCAATTTCATCAATAAAACGTTTTACATCGGCTGAAAAGAATGACTTATCATAGTTTGTCAGAATTTTCCTCGCCTTTTTCTTGGCAAACTCGTGCACATAGCATTTGTCACTCAAACTTTTTAGTAGCGAATACAAGTCATCCTTGAAAATATTGATTGTGTCTGAAGATAATAATTCGGTTTTTGGCTCTATGTATCGCAAGGCATTAATAACCAACCATTCCTTCTGTGGTTTATGATCGAAGTAATCATTCAATAGTGATTCAAACATAGCTGTACAGAAAGAAACACGCACTCTTATCTAATACGCGTAATACGTGTAAATGTGTAATATATTGATTAAGTCCGGAGCACAAGTGTAACTCAATGAACCAATCACGTATATCACGTATTGACTCGCAGATATATCTGATATAGACGTATAAGACATGTTACTATTCGGAAACTCTTTCACGCGCATTCCCTACTGGCGTATGGCATTATTTCCTACGTTAGATGTTTGGTGCTAGTCTATAGAATTTCCTTGAGCATGCGTGCTCAAGGCATTACCCTGTATGCTAGTATCCAGGTTTGCGTTGTGTATACCTACTGGCATACGGCCATTACTTCCTGTGTCAGATGTTTGGAAGCATTCTATAGGGGTTTCCTTCGGCATGCGTGCTTAAGGCATTACTCTGTATGATGTTTTCCAGTATACCGTGACTGAAATGCCAACCGCTATTCTCCTTTACAAAAAAATCAATGAAAAGTTACACTATCTACTTTAGTGTCGCTAACTTAAATTTATTGTTTGAACAATCATAAAAATTTTGATGCATAAAGCAAAGTGTACAAAACTTTATTAATAATTTCAAGAGAAATATATGATGCTATCAAAGAGGGAGGGAGTACGCGGATCCTAGGCCATTTAATGCGAGTCCCAGCATCAAGTTA